CTGCAGTTGACGCCACAATCACCACCTTCACCTACAACCTTCCTGTTGTTCAAAGAAATCCCTAATTCAAACCCGCTCGCCGCTACAACTGTCGCGCCACCTCAAATCAGTTTTTACCAGTAGTAAAATTGGCATTGACCCATGGTTGGGCAATGTGCACTAGGTGGAGATGAGGCCAATCTAGGTGGTCCATGATCGTGAGACGGTCGGACGGCGTCGAAATTTGCAAAACTCGGATAGCATTTTTGGACTTTTGCGACTGTCGTTCTTTTCGGATGAAATTCGAACATTGCAGAGTTGTTTAGAGTGGATTGGGGATATGGTTGGAGTTACCTAGGGATGAGCATTCGAGCAGTGGTGTCGCACGACCTTAGGTGTCTCAGGATGTGAAGTTTTCGACAGAAACAGGTAGCGCCGAATGGTTTTTTGGCTTTCAATTTCTGCTTATTCTTGTTGTTTCGTGGATGATGAATAATTGGATGTGATAGAGGGGAGTGAGTCAAGGTTGTTGTTGGGGGAATCCGGCAGTCTAGGTGGCTCGAAAGTGGCTTCCAAGCTGTTTTTCTTGGCGGTGGTTGTAGTGGTGTTGTTGTAGCTGTGGTGGCGGCGATTATTGAAAACACCCAAAACGCGTTTCGAAAATTTTGGCTTGATTATAACTGAAATCACGTTTTTTTTTTTTGTAAATTTCTAACTTGTTATCAAAAACGCATTTTCGAAAATAGGAAAGAAAATGCGTTTTCACTGTTTTGGAAAATCGAAAACAGAAAACGGCTTGAAAATGGTAAACAGAACATGCCCTTATTTGTTAATTTATGCTCCAACTCATGTGTCCAAAATATCCTCCGAGAGCACTGGAAGCTGTTTTTAGCCCATGTTTGAGTTCTATTTTTCACGAGTCATTTTTTTTATCATACATTTTTCAAAAATCACCACAAAACTCGTTTTTTACACAAAATGGGGCTCAAACATAGCCTTAATAGTCTTTAATTCCTTATTTTAAGAGTTCAATAGGTTTTTGGTCGTTAAGTTTTGAATAAAGATTGGATTTGATTATTCAAATGTAGCGATCCAAATTTATTCTCTATACAATAATTTTAGCGTTATCATTCATAATTTCGCAATTGTCCATAGATTTCTTTAAAAATAAAGGAAAAATGATTGTGAAACTCGAACAAGAGACAAGTTAAGTGAAAACATGAGAAAATACACTGAATCATAATTTTTTATTGAAAAAAATCAAGATAAACATGTTCTTTTGTTGGCGATTTTTGCAGATGATGAGGTAGCACAACATGATTAGTTGGTTTGAAGTTGGTTTTTTACAACTATCAATGAAATTCTGCCAAATATAAATATGTCAGACTATATGTAAAAAGCCCTAACAATGTAGCATAACTTAAAAGCAAATATAGTACTATCGGACTTTACAAAAACAAAAACAAAAAAAATCTAAAATGTACTCTTTATTTTTAATTATTCTTGTAGATGCTCTTTACAATAAAAAGAAGAACATTGTTGGAAATCCTTTAATATGCTTAAATATTAAAATTACATCTGTGTTAGATTATTTCTCATCTGCTTTAATTTTGTTAAAAATTCATGATTTAAGTAATTCGCTTCTTTTTTCCCCTAAAAATTACTTATTTAGCTCTTGTTTTGGCTCCATTTTAATAGAAATTTGGGGGAAATGAATTTTGGAATAGTAATTTTTTGAAGAATGTACGGCTTAAAAATAAGGAAAAAATTTTCGATTAACGTATAACATATTTTATGAGAAAATATTTGGTTGAAAATGAGTTTTGAAAAAATATGAATTTGTTCTCTTTGCCGTTTTCAAGCCGTTTTTTGTTTTCGATTTTTCAAAACAGTAAAAACATGTTCTCTTTACTATTTTCGAAAACGTGTTTTTGAAAACAAATTTAAAATATATAAAAAAAAACCCAAAATGACAAATTTGTCGTTTTTGGTGTTTTCAAGCAAAAAACACTAAGGGGCCGTTCTCTTTGCCGTTTTCAAGCCGTTTTCGATTTTTCAAAACGGTGAAAACGTGTTCTCTTACTCATTTTCGAAAACGAGTTTTCGAAAACACAAAAAAAAAATTGTGAAGAAAACAAAAAACGGCCAAAAAGCCGTTTTGGGCGTTTTCTTCACAAACGCAACATTAAGTTAGAAAACAAGGGAAACGACCAAAACGGTTCCTCCTCTGGCCAAAACAGTTCATCCTTTCTACTGCCAAACCACATGCCCCGCCACTTCCCAAGCCCCTAACCTCTGGCCAACCTCCTTCAAAATAGCCGGATTAATATACCACTGTGAAGCCCTCAATCCTCTCTTCAATTACTACACAAACAACAATTCAATCATAATGANGCTTTGGTAGCTTGAGCTCACCGGAGTTTGGCGTCATTTTATGGTGGGTGGTGGTCGGTTTGTGAGAATGGAAAATAATGAAAACAATGTAAACACCTATTGGGAAAATGTTTTGAGAAATACTTTTACAAAATGACAAAAAGAACACGTTTTCAATAATCTCAAAATGGACATTCAAAACACAAAATACAAAATGAATTCAAAACTCAAAACTCAAAACAGAAACACAAAGAGAACGGCCCCTAAATGAACCCAAAACACCCAAAACACGGAACGATGACCCCTATTTCTCCTTGGTGAGCCGCCAACTATGGAGCCTCACTATTCCACCTTCCGGCCACGACGGCCACCAATAGCAACGCCTCACTACCTTCTACAACTTCCAACCAACAATCAACCAAAAAAAAAAAAAATCAGATTTAGCCGAGGTTTTAGCCTACAAAACCAATCTGGCGCAAATTGTTTCTGTCGGAAATTTCACCTCCGGTAACGGCCAAGGTCTCACTAGGCATGGCAAAAAACAAAATCCGACAAATTCGATACCCGAACGGGGCGGGCATAACCCGCTTAAATGGGTAATGGGGCGGGGACGGGTAATAGGGCCCCAGCCCCTTTAAATTTTTTTTTATAATTCAGTACTTTAAATGAAAATTTTCATTAATTCTAATAGAAAATAGAAACTAAAATTATTTGTCTAAATCTAAAAAATATGGGTAATAAAAATAAATTATATATAAAAAAAAAATTCAGGCGTAACGGGATAAGGCCCCCCCCCTACCCCACCTTAAACGGGTAATGGGGCGGGGAATTTGCCATCCCTAGGTCTCGCACTACCACCGATTGATTGCCCATCCTCAGATGACACCAAACATGGACTCAATTTACTCCAAACAACACTTCAACATACTGAATTAAACTCAGAATCTCTAGCCGCGAAGCCTTCGACACGGGGCCCGAACTTTTCAATTTAAGGCGTCGTTCGATCGACCTATGGCACGGACCATATGGGTTGGTCTCTTCTCCTCCCAGTGCATTTTCCCAAACCATGAGTCATGCCCAATTTCAACCAGACATTGACGAATTCATGGGTGACGTTAGGGTTCTTTGTGAAAATTTTAGTACAAGCGAATTTGATGAATCTATGTTACTCCAAATGTTCAATTCGAGGAACAAAACTTCAATTGATGATGGAAAAGCTATGGGTCAACAACCAATTGTTACAATTAACAACTAACATTTTGGTTTGAAACCATCACAGGTCCGTACGCGCGATGGAGTTTCATATGATCCAATTGATGTTGCTTCTAAAGTTATTGCTCCAAATTCGATTGACACAATAGCAATTGAGGGTCTCAAGATCATTAGTAACCTACCAATTGATAGAATTGATGATCAATGCAATCCTAATTTGATGATTGATGCAATACTATATTAACATTAAATGAATAAAATTTATTGAATAATTAGATTTTTTGAATAAAATATTATAAAAAAAGATGCTCAATATTTTAAAGTAAAAGTGTTTTCAATTTTCTATTTTGAGAAACAGATTTTCAAAATAATAAAAAGAATACATTTTCAACAATCTCAAAATGGACATTTAAAACACAAAACTCAAAATGAATTCAAAACTAAAAACACAAAATTAAAACAAGAAGAGAACAACCCCTAACTTTTTTTCAAAAATGAAGTTAACATAGGCTTACATTAAAAAAAAAAAAAAAAAAACCTATTTGAAGTCTTTTAACGATATAATTGCCCAGATTTGAGGAAGGCGCACTTGGCCACTCACTATGACGAGCATCGTTACATACAGCCCGGTCTCGTGTTCCACACGACTCCATTTCACCCACAATTACAACACGACGCCACCACCACTTACCTTATCGCTCAAAGGCCATTCCACTGCGCAAAATCTCAAAGTGGGTTACCAGAATACAAGCAGTAGAAGAGTTTCGGTGGTTACACGGGCGGGACCCAGCACCAGCAGCTACATCTTCGCCTTTGTCTTGCCCCTCTCTCTCTTGGCAGTCACCGTCGTCACTTCTATAAGAATTGCTGACAAGCTGGACCAGAAGTTCCTCGAAGAGGTAATCAAATTTTCACATATTCTTGATGTACGCGTGTATGTGTAATAAATAGAGTTATTCACTGGTTTTCATTGGTTTTTTGAGATGCTTGTTTGTTTACTTGTAATCATGCTGAAGGATTGTTCATGGGTTTCTTTCACTCTCAAGGACTATGGTTGTTTATCTTTTATGTTAGGCTTTTTTGGGGCTGTCATATTTTGTTTTCTGTTAGAACTTTTGGTATTAGTTACAATCGTGCAACTTTGAGGATATAGCTGGAAATTTTAAATTTTTGCATAACAAAGATGGTAATTTGATGATAACATGTATTTACAAGTGTAATAATGCCTCCTCTCTCTTTTCTTACGAGAGTATAATTCGTTTGTGTAATGAAAGCGGGACAGGAGAAGTTGTGAGACAGAGGGTGGTAATAGTGCATTGAAATGATAAGAAAGATAATGCTCGAATTGGAATAGACAATACCAGGAGATTGTGCTAGTACTAGAGTAGGATACAAAATTGTGATGTATTGGTCCAAGGAGAGGTGGGCAGAGCCGTATTTGATGGCTGCTCATACAGGGAAACATAATGCTTGAAGGGATAATATCATGAGGTTGTGCAAGTAGAAGAGTAGGATAAACAATTGTGTCACTATTGGCACAAGGAGAGGGGTAGATCTGCAATTAGTGGCTGCTTATATCAGTAGCTGTTAATAGCTGAAAATGAACTCAACTGATGTGTACAGACTTCTGATGGTACATAGTTTACTCATATTGGATGGAAGTCAAGGTCGTGTGTCACTGGTCAACTCTTGCTGTAAGTCATTCTATTTTTCACCCATTCGATGCCTCAAAATCCTCATTCCCAAAGTCCAACCTTTCTCTCCTATTGAGAAAATAACAAGTCACAGTTTTTTCTAGATAAGGAGGGGAAGTCTTCTTTCAACACCTATCCCTGTTCATTCTAGTAACATTGCCCTTCCTTTACTGTCATGTTCTCATCAATGTAACTTGGATTAACTGAATATGTGATGGTAGATTCTTTGGCTCGGTTTAAATGTATCTTTGAATCTTATTGATGACCAACTGCAAGTTTGAGGCCATGAAGCTTATTAGCATGTATACCCAATGTGTCACTGTGCTGCACTTGGTGCCAACATACTTTCCGATACACACTACTCACATTTGTTGTGATTCCCACCCCCAACATCATTTAGTTTCTTCGTTGGTGGTCTTGATTAGATAGTTTCACACTTTTTCCCTCAACACAGTCCATTCCATGAATTTTTGGTGGTAAGGGAGAAACCATGCCCTATCTCATGTTTAAACGTTGTTAGTGACCTCAATGACACTATCCTTGCGGTCATGAAGTTAGTGCCCTTTAGTAAGATCACATGTAAATCCAATTCTTACTTGAAGTACCATCAAACTATGATCATGCTACACGGTCTGTTACACGTTAGCAGCCAATGCAGACAAGTTGACACACAAGGCTCTTGGTATGCTTGTGAAGATTGCTTATTTGCCTATAGCAAGATGATTTCCCATGGAGCGTAATGATTCCTATTATGTAGCTTTTGCTCAAAATCATTGCCTAATGTCTGCTGCGGGTCCAATGCTGCCTGCAAATTACAAACTTGTGTGGGGAACTCTAGAGTTTCTTTGAAATGCCAAAAGTCTACCGTAAGGTACCCATTATCCCAGGATTCTAAGATTGTTGCTTGCTTAGTTGAAAAGGATCCAAAGGATCCCCTGTAGTATGGAGGAGAATGACAGATGCTTGTAAACATGCCTTCCTTAAAATAGGTAATGAAGATCCCATCCTCAATGTCAGCTCTTCAAAATCTCAACTCCACCAGATTGTCAACTAGTGAGTATTTCTGTTAGATTTTATAGAAAACAAAGAGGAGGGAAAGAAAGATATTTCAATCACATTTTAAAGTATGACAAGGTTCCATACTTATAGCCTTACAAGATAAAGATAAAATGATTACAAAGCAAGTAAACTACCAACTACCTTACTACATTACTTGTTGTATACATAATCTTAGAAATCAAACTAAACTAGTCTAACTAAACAAAATATAAGTTAGACAATGTAACACAAAAACATGTGACATGTGACATAGAATCAACAAAAGTGTCACCCATAATTCATCA